TTTATTGGGCAGACAGATGATAGAAGGAAACTGTGTTTGACTGATGTGGGAAATGGATGACTGGCATCACCATTATCTTTACACTGAAGTGGTACAGAAAACTTCTCCTTTACAGTTACCCCAGCCGCTCCTATTGAGTGAATAAATCTACCACTAAATTTACAACCAGGCAAATCTGCCAATTTTACTACAGAATGTGTAGCTCCTGAATCAACCAAAAATGTAACATCAACACCCATTATAGCTCAAACCAGAGTAGGACATTTCTTAAATGCTGTATCAGTACCATATTTCAAATATGTACCCTCTCTAACAACAGATTTCCCAAATGTTTCCAATTTCTCAATAGCTTGTATGATGTGTGTGTGTGTCACTTCCCTGGTTAGATGCAGCAGGCAGAGGTTCCGTCTCCCCCGACCGAATTCCCTCCTCCTCCACCCCCTCCTTCGATTGATGTCAGTTTGAAGAATTGTTATTGTTCGTAGTCGATGCAGAAGCCTTGTTTTTGACGAGATGTGGGCACTCAGCAACCCAATGATCCATATCACCGCAGTTGAAACAACCCCCGTTGTTGCCGTTCTGGTTGCCTCCTCGTCCTCTGCCTTTCCCTCTGAAGCCTCCACGGCCTTTGACACCTTGGGCTCCACCCTGGGCTTGGTTGGACCAGGCGGTTGTAACAGCCTGGACCATGGTCAGCTGGGCTTTGTCTTTGCGGTCGCGGCGTTTCTTTTCTTGCTTCAGGCGGACTCTTTCTTGTCTTGCTTCTGCAGCTGTTTCTTCACCTGCTCCCATCTCAGCCATGTCTGGTATGTTGACCTCTGGCCCAGCAGCGTCGTGAGGTTGTAGAGCGGCTGGAGGAGGTGGGGGAAATGGGAAACCATGGTCGAGGAGAGGGTCTCTCACGCCTGTGAAAGAGGGATACAGAGAGGCAGTGTGTGGGTTATATGCTGGTGGTTTACCCTTTCTTATCACTTTCATCCTCAACCTGTATTTTCCTTATCGCCGAGGCCAACTGCCTCCTTTCACGGACTTCTGCTTCATCCTCCCAGTGTTTTAAACACTTTCTGTGAGTGTCCAGCTTCTCTAAGTCTGTCACTTTAATTTTACTCTTCTTTTTCATTTCATCTTCACATTCTTGTAATTTATCCCTTAGCTCTTTAATTTTTGTTTTACTTAAAGAACCCCCCTTTGGAAATCCGAACATTTCCGTCCAGATATTTAACTTAGACAAACTGTCTTCACCATGTTTTGCTCGCATGACATCCACTATAGGGCTCTCTGGAGGTTGTACCTGACCCCCCTGCTTTGCCCCCATGGAGGAAAGTCTTTAAGTGCTTTACCCAGAAAGCACCCCGTGTTCCAAACACGTCTATAAATGTAATAAAACACCCAATGTTCCAAACACTGTATTTATCACCCGTCGGTGATGACTATTTGTTAATGTACGTAAACCCAGTTACGACCAAATACCCTTAATATGAGCAGCCCACCGTATAATAAATGTCATGGAGTTTAATTACGTTTTATATTTAAACAACCAGTTATATTTAACCAACTAGAAATTGTACGTCTCACCGAGTATTGAGGGCCCTTGAGTCCGTTGGATCTCGTGAAGTCAATCAGTTCCACCTCCGGCGCTGGTCCCCTCGTCCCGTACTTTTTCTGTCGAGGTAGAGGAGAATCCGAAGATCCCGGCGGCCAACCACCAGCGTCCGCAGGTGTCCCCAATCGAGCTTGCAGAGATCCTGCCGACAACGCCAACTGTTTTGGAAATCTTAGACCTAGTCAATACTCAGGAGATATTCAATTAGAATGATCAATCAATAAAATGGTGGAAACAGAGTTGTCTTTCTGGATCTTTATTTGAAGCTTCAAATAAGGCACAGGTCTTACGGAGTACAGAGTATTCCGAAAGAGTGCGCACAGAGAGAGAATTGCGCATAGGTTTTATAGCATCTTTGTCAGTCCACAGTTCAACAATAACTCGTGACCTGTCACTCTGGGGGGGCTGGATGGGCAGATAAGCTAAAGCCCACATTCCAGAGGAACAGAAGCCACACATGGGCAATGTAGTAAATCAGGAACTTAGTAAAACAGGAACTGGTTAAAGACAGATGGAAGTGTTGAAACTCCAACCCCCAATGTGTTAAGGCCAGGTGCAAATGAGGACAGCAGGAAGTCATAGAGAGGTCAAAACAGATATAACTAAGGAATCAGGAACTCATTGCAAGACAGTGTCTCAAACACAGGAACTTGTTTGAGACACTTCTTCACTTTTTGCTTACGACCCTGTCTCACCCCCAGACATCCTTAAGGCTAGTTATATGTTGAACAAAGGGCATGGATTAAAATACCTCCTCATGGGACAACTGCATAGCATTTTACCATATTAGGTAACACATAAAGTTAGTTTGCACATCATATAAAGTTTACACTACATATAGAGTTTACCATTACATATAAAACTTTATAAGTATACACTGTTATAAAGTTTTCCACTACAACACACACACACACACACACACACACACACACACACACACACACACACACACACACACACACACACACACACACACACACACACACACACACACACACACACCACTTCAGGGGCATTACATTGACTTACATGCATTTCCTGGAGACTTATTATAACCTTAGTCAAAAACCAACACATGCCTAACCCCTAAAACCTCAACCTGACCAGGTCTTCACCCCAAAATTAATGATTGGATAATTACATGATATTATAAAATATAAAAAGTACTTACCATAGTTTTTTCCAGATCAGATCCGAATTAGGTCTCATTCTCTCTCTCCAAAAGGTCACTTGGTTCTGTTTTAGTGAATACTTGCTCCCCTTAAATAGCTGTATTGCAAATAAGCATGTCAATAGGCCCCAGAAAAGTGGGGAGCCAATCGGGATGGTACAGCTAGTTTAACAGATTAACACGTCTTGTCTGTCAGAGATTTCTTAAAACCCTCAAGTCTGTGCATTCTTAAGTGTTTTTTACATCTAACCTCTGTGCTAATCAGACCTTATGGAGCCGCTTCATATTGATTAGCAGGACATTTTAAAAAATCTTCTCTTTCCTCCATACCTGCAGCTATTTCTAATCTCATATAATTTCACATAGGGATTATTTTATTAATGGAATGATGTAATTAAACATAAAGAAAAAACAAATACCAGGGGGTCATTAAGACCTTTAATTTATTACAAAAAAAAAAGTTGGGGTAAGAAGGAAATACGGGTATGTGTGTGTGTGTGTGTGTGTGTGTGTGTGTGTGTGTGTGTGTGTGTGGGGGGGGGGGGTGTGGGAGGAAATGGATGGAGCCCTTTTGGATCACACCCTCAAGTCTGTGCATTCTTAAGTGTTTTTTACAGCTAACCTCTGTGCCGATTAGATCTTATGGGCCGCTTTAGAATGAATAGCAGGACATTTAAAAAAAATAATCTTCTCTTTCCTCCATACCTGCAGCTATTTCTAATCTCATATAACTTCACTTAGGGATTATTTTATTAATGGAGTGATGTAATTAAACATAAAGAAAAAACCAAATACCAGGGGTCATTAAGACCTTTAATGTGACGCCTACTGTAAGGGAGGAGGGGGGAGGAGGAGGAGGAGGAGTAATCATCTGCAAAAGTGAGTTTTTTTTACCATTATAATGTCTATCGCTGTTTGACTCTGTTTAAAAAGTTCTTTAAGCTTTGTAGATTTTTCATCAATCATTTTCAGCCAAGCAGCCAGAGGCACACGCAAAGATGTTTGAAAAACCCCACATGTAGAGTTGAAATACTCCAAGACAAAATCATCAGAGGGGTCCTTCCCCCGTGTCACCAAACGGCTTGAGCGGTAATACCATCTACCAGACGGGCCGCTTTTAGTTTCCCCGACGGTGCTTGTCAGGATTCTTTTCACTGGCGGCGGCGGGTGAATATTTTCTTGTGAAAACAAAACCATGGTATAGTGTGTTGAAACATGTGGAAGAAAGTCACAGTATAGTGTGTCGAAAAATGTGAAAATAGACACAAAAGATATCCCATATGGTCTAGCGGTTAGGATTCCTGGTTTTCACCTAGGTGGCCCGGGTTTGACTCCCGGTATGGGAATACGTTTTATAGGGGAAAAATAATCAAAGTATTATCTGTCCTAAAAAAATCTAATATATGTAAGAAATAAAATAAAAAATCATATCAATTTGTTTCAAAGCTCAAATGACTGGCTTTTATCTAGTTTTGCATAGATTTCTTTTTTATGACTGACTCCACCCCCTCACTATCTTCAGGGGTGGGGGGCGACAGGGAGGATGTGACGCCTACTGTAAGGGAGGAGGAGGGGGGTGGGTTGAGAGGGGTGGGGGCTGAGAGGGGTGGGGGCTGAGAGGGGTGGGGGCGACAGGGCGGATGTGACACCTGTATGTGAGGGGGAGGGGGGTGGGCTGAGAGGGGTGGGGGGCTACCGGGGGGATGTAACACCTGTACGCGATAACACCTCGAACAAAGGGGCTCATTAGCATAGCAAAGGGGCTCATTAGCATAATTAGGGGGCGGGACTTAGAAGGTGTGACCTGTCACTTTTTTATGCATACTAATGAGACGAAAGGAGCATATGTAATACTACTACAGTAACATGTTGTGAAATCCTGGTAATAATTTATCCTGTACATTCACAGTAATTAACGGTGCCTGCATTGATTTAACTGTGAAATTCAAAATTACAGTATTATATTGTGAACATTACAGGTAAAGACTGTAAAGTGGTAAAACAGTAATTTATTGTAAAATATTACAGATTGGGAAATCATGGTAATATTTTACAGTGTAGTCATGTCAAGCCTTTTGTATTCGTACATCTCAACATCTAAAATCACAAACTCTACAACAAACAGAACTTTTCATTCTTAGACCATAGATTGTTATGAGTAAAAAATTCCCCAAAAAACCTTAAAGGGATGACAAAGTTATACATAGCAAACACAAGGAACTTGGCTTCGTGTTGATATGTTGCTTTATTCAAAATGGTTTTAATGTAACCTACAACAGATCTACACAGTCTACACATAACACACAAGAAAACCATTATTTTCGGATAGAAACACCTACCCACATTTGCATAACAAATGTAAGTGTTGCATTTAATCTGCATTTCACTTTACAATCTTTTACATGTGTCGTGTTTTTTCTCAGCTCTTCAGTGATCGTTGGAATTTGTTGATTCACGCCCTTTATTGTTCTGTTTTTAGCACAGCTTGAATATCCAGTCCACCTGCATGTTCATTGTTCATTTAGATAATAGTAATAGTAATAGTTCAACCTCCCATCAGCATTTACAAGAAATGACACCTGTTCTTTTAAAAGCCACAAAAAAAAAAATGCATGTACAGAGTGCAGCCAGCTCTTTGGATTGTCGCTCTTAGTTTCTCTTCCCGACAAGATTGCAAATGTGAATGTGTACATATTATTCTGTACTTTTACAAGATTGAAAACAATCAAAACTTAACCAAATTGTTTATTTAAAAAACACTTGTTTCACCACTTTCACCACTTTCACAACAACTTCAATAATCTGTTGCATTATATATTGGAGTAATGTAGTGCTGCTCTCAGCTTCATGTCTAGCGATTATTTCCTCCATCTCTATCAGTTTTTTATTTGCCTCCTCCTTTTCTTTTTTCATAACCCTGCTCAACCTCCCCCTGTCTGCCTTTGCTTCCCAGAGTTGTAGCTCATACTTTTCCTCTATTTTCTTCTCCTGTTCCTCCCTCTGTTTGCGTATTTTCTCTTCTTTCTCTTTAAGGATCCGTTGTTTTTCCTCTTCTATCAGCTTCTCTGCCTTCTGGAACATGTCTGTGGTGTAATGGCTTCCTCCGTTCTTCTTTGCTATATTTCTGATCTTGTCGAGCAGCTCTCTGACCTGAGAACGATCCTCCAACTTATTATTGAAGACGTGGTACTGCCCGTTACATCTGTTCACAAGTTCCTGCAGATCTTCACTTTCCTGCAAGAACTCTTCAATAGGTTCATCTTCGAGCAGATCACCGTGGGTAAAGAGGACCATGCTGTATCTGTTCGCTTCCTCTCCAAAGATTTTCTGAATCTTCTGCACTGTCTGTTTTTCTTCCTCTGTGAATCTGCCCAGTTTGATGACGACTAGGAAGACATGAGGTCCAGGAGAAGCATAACCAATGCTCTGAGCGATATCTTTTAGTGTTTTCTTTTCATCAGTTGTGGTGTCAAAAATACCAGGAGTGTCAATGACAGCCACCTCTTGTCCATCAACTTCCCCAAAGGCCTTAGCACAGGCTTTAGTCAGAGATTCAGAAGAAAACTTTGATTTAAAGTACTTATGTCCCAGAATGGTGTTACCTGTGGCGCTCTTCCCAGCTCCAGTTTTCCCAACGATCACAATCCGGACAGCCTTATCATTGTGGCCCGAGTATTTGTTGTGGCAGTTTGTAGAAGGTTGAGACGAACAGACTGAAAAACAGAAAAAAAAGATTTATTGATGTCTTCATATATTTATTTTATTTGCATTTCCACAAAATACCTTTGAGGTTCCAAATAGAACCTTTTATGGTTATAAAAATAAACCACAAGGACTGCCTGTCAGACTCTCTAACATCTGATATCCCCTCTCGTATTAATTAACACATTTACGTCAAACCAAACAATATAATCTAAAATCACATCACATTAAATCAGAAGGATACCCAACTTATGCAGGAGCATTGGCAGGAACACAGGGAATCACACAAGGAAAAATAAAACCACACATCAGGAACCAGAGGGGATCAGAGACGACGTATAGAAAGCGCACAAGGGAAGACATATATCAGACAAACAGGCGGGAAAACACAAAGACAGGAAGTAAAAACAGACATCACACACAGAGGTAAATGGACTGTAGTTATAAATCTCTTTATCAGGTCTTCTGGACCAATCAAATCTCTTTACTCACTGCAAGTCATTCACCCAATCACACCTCATTCATGCAGAGCAGCACCACTTGCTCTAGGGAAGGTTACACTCGCACGCATGCACACATGCACGCGCACACACACACACACACACACACACACACACACACACACACACACACACACACACACACACACACACACACACACACACACACACACACAAGGAGCAACTCAGGGATCAGTATCTTACCAGAGGAATCATCGACATGTTGACTGTACGGGCTGGGCTCTAACCCACAACATCCTGGTTGAAAGACGACCGCACTCCCAAGCAGCCAAAGTCGCAGGAAGACTTTCAAAAGCAAACAAGACAGGTGAAACACAAAAAACATGATGATGACAGAAACACGGTCGGATTCCAGATGTCCCTGATAATACAGTCAAAAATAATTCAGCTAGGAAGGATTCAGCGGGGGAATGACCATGAAATATAGGAGAGTAGCTGGAAAGGGGCATAGGAACTCGGCAGACAGCCTTCGATTGAAACCGTTTTGGAGCAAATGCCGTAAAAAGAGGAAGGCAGGTATACACAAAAGGCAAGTTTTTATTTAAAGTGGACCTATCATGCTATATTTGAATAATATAGTGTAGGACCATACCTATATAAGGCATATTTATACTTTTTTCCCCCTTCAAAATACCAAACAGATCATGCATTTTAGCCATGCCTCATTTTGCTCAATTTGACATTTTTTAGATCTGTTTTTGCAAGGGTTGATTCTGTGAGAACAGCACCACCTACAGGCCTGGCATATGTACTACAGCGTCTCCAGCGCTTTCAAAAGGCAATGGCCGTAGCTGTCTCCTCCTGATTGGTGGAGTTGGCCCAATAGCCGTAGCGCCACCGTCCTGACGTCAGGACAGTGTTCAAATCTGGATCAGTTTTTATCAGATCCGTTGCAGCCCCTTTTTTTGAGATTTGGGTATGGAGGAAAATAGAGAGGGTTGTGTTTTCTGACACTTGGTGAGTTCCCTGGAACACCGGGGACACAACGTTTCTGATAGGCCCTAACCCTAACCCTTGTGGGTGTAAAGCCAGCCTACATTTCCGATATTACGTCACACCGGACGCAAATCTGGATCAGCTCCATTTTACCCCCGTTTTTAGAGATTTGCGTACGGAGGAAAATAGAGAGGGTTTTATTTTCTGACGCTGCGTGAGTTCCCCGACACACCGGGGACACATTTATGTATAAAAGACATCAAAAAGTGCATTTTGCATGAAAGGTCCCCTTTAACATTTACATTTAAAACATACCTTTAACTAGATCTTAAATCAGAAAACAAATGTAATACAATCCTTTAGAGCGATGATCTGAGTTTAACCTCTCATCAGTGTTCACTCCGGTGTGAAACTGCAGTAAGTTTCAGAAGTATCAGATCAGCTGTAGCGTTCAATCAGTAACTGATAGCCTACAATAAGAGGGTGGGTCGGCTCTTATAAACAAACATGTCAACAATCTAACCGGAGTAGTGCTCCAGTGCTGCCATACTGCCCACCCAGCAGAACCTTCTCAGATGAAGTTAACAAGGCATTTGGTTTAAAAAAATAATTCTGAAAGATCCACCCCCACCCCTCGCCGATAAAAACAGCGCTGGTCTGTAAAATAAAAATACTTCCCTCTCCACTCACCAAGGAGTTCATATACTGCAGATTTAAAATCAAAAGGTTTGGCTTGTAAGCGTTTCCCTCTATGGCAGAGTTGGACTATAACATGATGTATGTGTAACGATAAATATATATTTAAATGAAAATGTTACAATCAACAGCATGAATACAGTTTATCAACTTACCATTCAGCATGTCAAATGTGCTGACCATAGTTAGTTAGGAAGAGCTGGTCTGCTGCTAAGCTGAGGAAGTGAAGTTAGTCACAACACCAACAACAACACCTCCTTAAATACAGACTTCATGCAGCAAACCACACCCACACACACTGCTGACATCACAGTCTGAAGTTCAGCTACAGTGGGATGATTCATAGATTAAAAAGTATAAATCCTTCCCTTAATAAACAGAACAAGGGGAAATACAGCCTCATGTGTTCAGACTTGTTTTAATTGAACAGACTACATATTTGAGATATAAGTCCTCAATGCTCTTTACATATCAACATTCACCCATTCACACACATTCATACAGAGGCAGAGGCTGCCATGCAAGGTGCTCAGGGAGACTAACATTCACACACACTCACACACGTTGGCCATACCAATTTGTGGTTAAGTATCTTGCCCAAGGTCACATGGACATGTAGAGCTACATTTTATTTACAGTTTGACTGCACCTCCAGCAGTCTGCAGCTCTCAAAGTGTTTTAAAAGAAACATGTACAGTTAGCTTCAGCATTTGGCATAATAGTGATTTAATCTAATCTGGCTTCATATTATTAAAAGCAACACGAGCATCAACCCGACGCAGTCCGCTATTGTTGTGGTTGTGAGCGGCTGGGAACACAACTGGGACTAAAAAGGAGAACCAGTTCAGAACCAGAAAAGCACGGAGTAAGAACCAAACTGGTTTGGTGGGAAGGGGCATGGATGTGTTTAAACTGCCATTTATTTCCCCGCTAGGTTTTCTCATTCATGTGATATGATTTTATTCAACCTCTTATTCAGGGACTCAACTGATTGATACCCTTACATTACCCATTATAATGTACTTTCCTTTCACTTTTAGATAACTGCCCTCAGTAAACCCTGCTCCCTCCTCCCTTCAGCATTTACAAGAAATGCACCTTGTTCTTCTAAATCCCACAAAAACCTGCAGACTGTAGTCAACACTTGGAATTGCAGCTCTCAGTCTCTGTTCATGACAGGATGTGGCAGTTAAACTCAGATGCTGTGAAACAGAGAAAGGTCAACTTTTAAACCTTGAGATACAGCACCCTCACGTGGCTGGCAAACAGTGGTTCAAGAAGAAAGGGAAAATAATACTGTAAGGCCTACATTTATCATTTTTATTCAAGAAAATATTACAGTAGCATTATCAGCTAAATGTACTAGAAGTACCAAAAACGCCCATTAGGTGACATAATGACCCTGTTGCCCCTTTCACACCAACGCGGTTCCCGTTCTAGCTCCGTGCTTTCGCTCTCCTGGTTCGGAACCGGTTTTTCTATTCAGCCCCCGTTTTGTTCACACCGCCCAGAGCCCGACTGGTGCTGCGTCCTGAAGTCACCGTTCATGTCGCTGATTTTCTCCCCAACGGCGCTCACAACAACAACAATGGGGCACTGCGTCGGGTCGATGGTCGTGTTGCTTTTAATCATACAAAGCCAGATTAAATTAAATAACTACTTCTCAACCCTTATACTTTTCTCCAGAGTGCCGTGGTTCATTATTTATTAATGTGTTTCAGCTGCATTTACCGACCGCTGCAGTGCTGCCCACTGTTTGGCATCACAACGCTGTTATGAAAGTTTATCTGGTATAAAATGGGTGATGTTAGCATAGCAACCAAAGCTAAACTGACTATTTTGACTACTTGTTGCTATCCTATTGTGGCATAAGCCGTTTTCTACAGGCACATACAGTATTACTGGCGTATTTTTAATTGTGATTCTACTTGTGATAGATGGATATGTATTGATTCCATCCGATAACTGCTATAATACAAAAAAAAACGTCTGCCTGCTCTCCACAATAATCAATAACAGCGAACGGATGGTCAAAGTAAGGTACAAATAAACAGAATCACACTAAGCCTGGCAGTGGTTAGTAGAGACGGCAAATCCGGATCCTTTTACGGACTCAGGGTCTTCTGAGTCAGTCATTGAAGAGATCCGGATCATACGAGTCATTTGAGTCATATGAGTCAGCATGACCAAGACCGGTGAAATCCTATCGGTGAAACCGAAAAGTTGTTGCATTTCACGAGCATATTATTATTCCATATATTTTGAATATATATATATATGTATTATCTGCATGTATATTTTCTATTTCGACATGTATATTTTATATTTTATATTTTATTTTATTTTTATTTCTATTCTTGTATATTTTGTAGTTTTGTTTTATTGTAAAATGCCTTTTATGCTGCTGTAACAACAACAATTTCCCAATTTGGGATCAATAAAGTACTATCTATCTATCTATCTATTAAACTGACGTTATATTAACCTACACAGTGTATTTTGCTTTAATAAAAAATGTTGATCACAAAAAAAAGGGTTATTTTGCGATTTGGCAAATCTGAGTCTGCTGTTGACTCGTGCATGAGGACGAGTCTGCTGGATCTCTGGATCTGCTGCTATATACGGCTCCGAGTCCGCACGAGTCTGCTCTGCTGTGTGTTGCAGCGAGTCAGGATTTGCGAATCTGCGAGTCTGCGAATCTGCGAATCTGCGAGTCTGCGAGTCTGCGAATCTGCGAGTCTGCGAGTCTGCTGTTGATAGCGCGGGAGCCGGGTGCTGGAGGAGGGGCTATGCTCGTGCACATGACAAGTATGGATCGCTGGATCTGCTATGCTATTACAGTTAGGAGCCGTCGGCTCCTCTGAGTCCCCACGAGTCTGCAGGAAGTTTCACTGATCCGCGTCCCCTCCCCTGAGCCAAACGATAACTTCTGGCAGCTATCCTGTATACTTGCTAAAGGGTAGGCAGATGGACTGGGGTACGTTGTAATGTGATTTTACATGTTATAAAGAGAGTAGCGAGTGATGCAATTTATAGTTTTAATTTGTACGTCACACCAAGTGTGGGACTCAAGGACTCGGGTTAATGGAGAGGGGAGACTCGTCACGACCAGCTCATTTCTAGGATCCGGGTTAATGATCCGGATGAATCAGGACTCGCCCATCTCTAGTGGTTAGTGTTGCCTGACTTTATAGAGTGTGTTTTTTTTTAGAAAGTGTGTGGTCACTTTGCTCAGCGCTACTGCTTGATACAACTTTTGTTTGCCGTTCTCGCCATAAACTGTTGCTCAGTTCGACGAAAGCCCCTCCGACGAAAGCGTGACGTATGCGGTTCTTGATTCTAGACCGACAATTTTTTGGTGCTTGTTAAGAACCGGTTTTCGGGGAAAAGAACCTCCGCTGCGGTGTGAACAGGAAAAACCGGTGCTTATCAGGCTCTAGCTCCGAACAGGCCCTGGAACCGCTTTGGTGCATGTGTGAGTGGTATATTATGTTTTTTTAGTTGTTATTGTGTGCTAGTAGTGTAAGTAGCATTGTAATTTTTTTCTAAAGGCAAGTCCCCGCAAGTGACTGTATACTAATGGGCCCCACAACAGTGCTTGAATTGGGCCGGTACTCACCGGTACGCCTGATTTTTACCCATGTGGTACCGGCACTTCTTACTGAGTACCGGCAAGGTGCCGATACTCAGTAAGATGCCGGTACTCAGCCGCCGGCACGTCATGACGCATGACAACAAATATGCCCAGCGTACCTCAACACGTTCTCACTCCCAACCCGTCACATGTTGACGGACGGTCAGGGCCCCTCCCCGTCACTCTATTACGGACAGGGTACCCCTTGAGAGTCAGTTTTCAACGGGCAGGGCGTCCCATAGGCCTTCATAGACCTCCCATAGCGTTGATAATAGACGCCATGAGAACGCTCCCCGACGGTCGGTTGTTATTGTCAATATTAATATAATAATTATTTATTTTTTAATAGTCACCCTCGATTTCGCCGATTTTCTTGTAGCCCCAGCTGGTTGACACCTCTTTTAGCAGAAACAAAGGCTACATTAATGTATTAAATCGATGTTAATCCATGTGTGTGGTTGTGGAATTAATGGACGTGCCGTTGTGCGATTGCGTAATATACGCAATATACAAACTCTTCAAATACAACCCTAATTATATTTAAAAACATTTTAGAAGGCCTCGCGAAATACTTTAAACTGTTAAGCCCGAGAGACCCCGGTACCGGGGCACTGCCGCAACATCTTGCAGGAAACAGTGTCTGAGAGCATGTTCATTTAATAAACTATGAATGTTTTATATCCATGTTACGGGAAGAAACTCATCCCAACTGCACGCCTCGGGACCCTGACCAAGCGTCGCTCCTGGACGTTTATGGAGTGAGAGTGTGTTGGTAACAAATGTAATTTCCCCTCCGTGGGAAGAATAAATTGTCCCACTGATTTGTATATTAGTGACAAACTTAAGGATGGAGTGTTAACGCCTTCTTATATCAACCTCTTCCTGCACTATCAGACGTCAGAAAACCTTTCGTCATACCACTGTGGGGAATTTTACACCATTTCTTTAGGATTAATTGTATTTTTACACATATACCTCGAATGATGTCAGTAAAGCATTACTCATTTATTATCAGCTTTATTTCATGATCACTGAGCAACACATTATTCACAATCTCTACATAATTATCATTGTCTGTGGTGCAGTCACAGTGATTACCTGAAAAACATGCATGCACTCCACACGTTTCTTGCATCACTGAGATAAATGACCCATTAAACCACAAAACCCAGATTCCAGAAAGATGCCATATATGGACTTTATGTTCTATGGTAAACAAAAAAAGTATTAATATCACATATGTTGCATGGAGTGTGATTGGCTGGAAGTTACAGATATTGCACACCTTGCACCACTTTATATGTCCACTATGTGGTGCTGGAGAAACACTATTAACAAACAGAATGTCACTAAACATCAATTGTAGACCACACATTGTTATTTTCATGATGTTTGTCACATGAGGCTGACTACCTGTTGCCTTTAGGTGGTGCTATGACTTATCAAGCACTCAACATTGGTAGTTTGGAGACTGTACAATGAAGTTACAACAACTTCCTGTTTCATGGTGAGTCTATGGCTCTCATCGTTATGGAGTTAAAAAGGTACTGGACAATAGTTAAGTTAAATATACCTGTTAATACCTGATAGATATTGTACATCTACAGGTGAAATGAAGCGCAAGAGTTTTGTTAAAGTTGTGTAGAGGGAGCTATCAAGCCACCTTGCCTAACTGACAACATATAACCATATCAGTTAACTGAGTGTATGCATGTGACACGTTTTGTGCGTCTAAATGCAACCCTTAGCCCTAAAAAAGTAATAATAATTGAAAAGCGCTATATAAGTCCCATGTATTATTATTTTTAATAATAATAATAGCTTGGATTTATATAGCGCCTTTCATGAGACCCAAGGTCGCTTAACAAAGAAGAACAGGGCAAAACAAACAAACAAAACAAAAGGCAGTCAGACAACCAGTCAGACAGACAAAACAACAAATAGATTAGGGGCCAAAGGCCTTAGTAAACAGATGGTTCTTGAGGGCCCTTTTGAAGGCGTCAAGCGTGGGGATGTTGCGGATCTCCGCAGGGAGAGCGTTCCAGAAGTACTATCTGTTCAAGCCGGTGAACGCAGACACACAACTTTCACTATCCAGCTTTCCACCTGTCTTACGGCTTTACTACATTTCAGAGAGATCTGCATAACTTAGGGGGAGCAGGAAGTTAAAGTACAAAACCTTAATACCTTATTTTTACTATCTAGCAACCTTACTACCTTATTTCTTCTTTTTACTATCTAGTAAAAGCAAAAGCAATCAAACAAAGAAAACACAACATCCGAAAAACATTGTTCAGTTCATATCAGATTAATAACACCACTTTACCATATTAACATCTTTGTTCTTGACATTCTGTGACACTGTTTAGGACTTGGTCACAGCTCACCCCTGATATAACTGAGAAAACTATAAATCACACAACGAAATTCAAAAAGGGGGACGGTGAAGATTAACAAGGAGTCAGACAGTCAAAGGTTTGCTAAATCTGCTGCCGTCCAGCATCAAGCCTGACTGTCTCACGCAAACCGGCTGTTATTTAAAAAAGGATTTAAATGCTTTAATTACGCCATTTATAAACCTCATTATGAAAGAGCTCTTCTCAGCTTCCTGCCTGGCCTTCCTTTCCTGCTCCATGTCTCTTTTAAGAGTTTCAATTACCATTTTCATTTCAAAGATAGTTTGTTGCTCATACTTCGCAAATATTTTCTTCTCCATTTTCTCCCACTCTAAGTGTATTTCCTCCTCTCTCTCTTTACGGATTCTCTGTTTCTCCTCTTCTAGCTCCCTCTCTGCCTCCTGGAACATTTCATTGGTGTAATGGCTTCCTCCGTTCTTCTCTGCTATATTTCTGATCTTGTCGAGCAGCTCTCTGACCTGAGAACGATCCTTCTCCTTATTATTGAAGACGTGGTACTGCCCGTTACATCTGTTCACAAGTTCCTGCAGATCTTCACTTTCCTTCAAGAACTCTTCGATAGGTTTAGCTTTGAGCACATCACCGTGGGTAAAGAGAACCATGCTGTATCTGTCTGCATCTTTTCCAAAGATTTGCTGAATCTTCTGAACTGACTGCTTTTCTTCCTCTGTGAATCTGCCCAGTTTGATGACGACCAGGAAGACATGGGGTCCAGGAGAAGCAAAAACAATGCTCTGAACAATATATTTTCTGATCTTCTTTTCTTCAGTTCTGGTGTCAAACAGACCTGGAGTGTCAATGACAGCAACCTTTTGTCCATCCACTTCCCCAAAGGCCTTAGCACAGTCTTTAGTCAGAGATTTAGGAGAAATCTCTGATTTAAAGTACTGTTTTCCCAAAATGGTGTTTCCTGTGGCGCTCTTCCCAGCTCCAGTTTTCCCAATGATCACAATCCGGACAGCCTTATCATTGTGGCCCGAGAATGTGTTGTGGCAGTTTGTAGAAGGTTGAGACGAACAGACTGAAAAACAGAAAGAATTATTTATTGCTGTCTTCATACGTTTTTGTTCTTTGCAGTTCCACAAAATACCTTTGAGGTTCCAAATAGAACCTTTTATGGTTATAACAATAAACCACAAGGAGTGCCTGTCAGACCCTCTAGCATCTGATATCCCCTCTCTTTGAAAATTAACACATTTACATCAAACCAAACAATATAATCTAAAATCACAACACATTAAATCAGAAGGATACCCAACTTGTGCAGGAGCATTGGCAGGAACACAGGGAATCACACAAGGACAAAATAAAACCACACATCAGGAACCAGAGGGGATCATAGACGACATATCGAAAGCGAACAGACAAAGAAAACACAAAGACAGGAAGTAAAAACAGACATCACACACGGAGGTAAATGGACTGTACTTATAAATCTCTTTATCAGGTCTTCTGGACCCCTCAAATCTCTTAACACACTGCGAGTCATTCACCCATTCACACCTCATTCATGCAGAGCAGCACCACTTGCTCTAGGGAAGCTTGCACTCACACACACTCACACACACACACACACACACACACACACGCACACACCGTTGGCAATCAGGAGTAACTCAGGGATCAGTATCTTACCAGAGGAATCGTCGACATGTTGACTGTACGGGCTGGGCTCTAACCCACAACCTCCTGGTTGAAAGACGACCGCACTCCCAAGCAGCCAAAGTCGCAGGAACACTTTTCAAAAGCAAACATGAGACGTGAAACACAAAAAACCAACAAGTCCTCCAACTAATACGACCAAATAGGCCGATTGTTCCGACCTATAATACGACCCACAGGAGCGATACGTTACGTTTGTTATGAACGTATCTTAAATACGGTTATTTTCTACATATCTTTGCCATTTATTGTCTTGCTTATAATAATGATAATAGTAATTTAACAAATATCATTTTAGATTAAAATCAGTAGGCGAGGCTGTAATTTCGCCAGCTGTTACTCTCATGAGCGAGGCAGAAAATAATAGTTGTATCATGCCAAAAAGCTGCTGTGTCGTTTATTGCACCTCAAACATAAAAACAAATCCAGAGTTACGTGTTTCTGTACTTCCTCTAAGAAGAAAGGACAATAACAGAAGAGCTCTGTGGCTTCAGGCTTGATCGCCGTTCAAATGACAGCGTTGGTTTCCCCAAAAGTGGGCGGGGCTGTAAAGTGACGTAGATTTTATTCTCATCTATTATTCAAAACCATTCTATTTATTCTAACGTAAATTACATGCCAGTATTTTATCTTTTTATTTAGCGATTTGTTTATGTTTAACTGGGAATGTTTTTACAGGAACAATACCGGAAACAGACAAGATCCTCAGCTCGTGATTGGATTGTTTAGCCGCAATGCACGTTGGGAGATGGTGTTTATGCGATGTGAAATCCGAAAAAATTTAAAAAAAAATTTAAAAAAATGTATTCCGAGTGTTCTTGCTTTTCTCTTTGGAGGTCATCACATAACGGCATTGTAATACACGGTTCGGCTGCATTAAATATTACATATATGCCGTAGATATTTATTTATAGAGCCCTGATGAGAAGACCTTTTGACAAACTGTAAGAAATGCCGACAAAACTGAATACGTGACGTGGATCATAAATATATTAGCAATTAAACAACATCTTCCATTTCTTTTCACACAATACGTCTCCTTGCAGTATCAATAGTAATTCGGCTGACTTTTATATTTGATCCAATTGGTAGATAGGTTATATTTACACCATAACGGTGCACAGCTGATAGAAAGGGATTTTTTTGTAGTTTTTAAAGATATTATTTACTGAACTACCTTTCCAACTCCTCATGCAGTTGACTGTTACAGGTCTATACAGGTTCATGGTACAATGCATAAGCTTCAAATCGAGAGACTGAAACTGTATTTTCCTTTAGCGTTCTGTTTTAATTTCACAATAAAGTTAATAGTCATATTATGTTTGATATTATTATGTTTTATTAACTACACCACTGTTTTTTTAACCTGCACCGCCTAGTGGTTAAAGCACGTTATTGAATTTTGTTGTTGAATAAGTTTTATTTGATGAAAACATTTAAATATGAAGAGTAGCCTACATACAAAATTGGGGGAAAGTAGAAGGCATGATAGAAATATAGAATAGATCATATCAAGAAGATACTGTAGTGATCTCTACAATAAAACAGTTTAGTGCAGGATGTCCAAAGATATTAACAGGAGGATGTGCAAAACAGACAAACTAATAAGGCTTTATTTAAACATTAAAGAATACTTTAAGTTAAGGGCTTCTTTTGAATAAGAAAAAAACGTTGGGGTTATCAACAGATTAATATGAAGTCTGACAAAGTACTTAACGTCTAATATATTGCATAGTTTATTTTGGCACTTGACAATCACCTTTCCTGAATTTGACTCAGGTGTAACTAAAGTCTGATTTAAGGGTTGTTTATATTTCACATCATTAATCAGAATCTGCAAAGTAACTAAAATAATTGTAGTGGAGTAGAACAAAGTAGTATGCTGCTGTAACAAAAACATTTCCCAACTTGGGATCAATAAAGTATATCTTATCTTATCTTTTCTTAAGATGATCGATGGCTACTGCCATATTTGCAAAATTTGCCTCTGAACCTTGACAAGTGCATGTTTCAGGCTTATCAATGAACAACAGGAGGGGTCACAGACATAAGACCAGCTGTTAAATAAAGCTCTTCTGACCTTAGGTGTCATGTGGGTATATTAATTCATCCATTTATTAATTATATGTTTTAAATTTGATAACACCACTGTGTTTCGTATCCCCTAAACCTCCAGGGTGTACACAGTTTAATACTGGCCACTTCTAATTGTGGGAAATACGAAAACGTCTTATAAAGAAACGCGAGGGGGGGGGGGGAGGCTGGACCCGGGGGCTGGACCCGACCAATTCCAGTTTTGGATAGTCTGCCGTGGTTCCATTCCATTTCATAGAGCTGTTTGACGCTCAGCGTAACCTTGTCACACTGCCACTCCAACATCCAATCACAGGGCTTGATGACTAATCATGGGGTTTGTAAAGCAAGGCGGATGTTGTAGTCCCAAACGATAGCTGGGGATTCTGGGTCGTGTAGTGTCTTCGGAAACTGTAGTGTCTAAACTCCGAAAAAACTATTTGTTTCTCTGAATCGAAGGTTAAAAACACAAAAGCATTGTACACAATTTAAACCAATCAATATTGTGTAATTAACAAGGATAAACTGATGTGTTTTAGTGGATGAGTAATGCAGTTATCACTGTGTAATCATTTGACAGTGAGGGGAATATATCCGGTTCTATTATGAAAACTTCGAGACCGGAAAAACTGTTTTCACCCACGCTAACTTTACATGGAAGCTGCATACACGTTATCCTGGCGAGACCTCAAATCATCTTCGTAATATCTATCAAACTATAGATCCTACACATCGACTGGACGTGGATTCTAAGATTACAATATACACTTCTCGCCAGAAATCGAATCAAAAAGCATTTTAACCTGTTAAGCACCAAGCCTGTTTTTCATGTTTCAGGCTCGAAAATGACATGCCCAAAACAAATGACTACAACTTAACTTCTAAAAGGGTTATATGAATAATTTCTTTTATCAAAGCAAGGTTACATCTGTGAGTTGGATGTAGAAGTGTCAGAATCAATATAAATGTTTTTTATTTTAAAGAAAATTCAGATTTTACATAGTAAAAAACTGTAAATTATAGTGTCCGTCCAAAAATAATTTTTTACAGATAGTGAAAACTACCCTTGGATGATGGGTTAGTAGACTAAAAGCTTTAGGAATCCAAAGTACAACATATAATAAGTACCCTGTATCAAGATTGATGCAAAACAAGTGACATTTGACCTTTTTAGAGAGGTTTAGCCAAAACCACCCCACCTCTGAGGTGATTTGGGTGAAAATGTTTTTTTTTCTATATCTCTGGCCCCCCTTGCTCTATTTTGATGGTTGACACCTCTTTCTGACCGTTAGAGCCAATAGAATTGAAGGGGGAGGCCCCCACACACACACTCATTGTGAAGAGAAAAGGTGGGGGCTGCGCGCATGTAAATGTAAAGCAGAGTGGAGCTACATTCTAGCTCTGGCATTTGGAAACAAAAAAGCAGTTTTATTGCTTATGGATTATCAGACATAATTTCAAAGAAGGCACAGATACATTGGATGAACCTATGGATTAACTGCAGCATCGTTTTTTTATCGTTTTAATGCCATTGAAGACCAGTTTTGACCAAGGTAAGCCATGTTAGCGTTTCTAGCTACTTAGCTCCACATGTTATGATGTACGCTTTCGTTTATAGCGTCGCAAATGTTTATCACTGAGTGTTGAGGTGGGCACCCACCAGGGGCGTCGCCTGGACCTGAAAACATTCGGGGCTTAGCCCACAGTGGCGGCGGCACTACAGTGGCATTTTTTACTGCAACACTCCCCACATGCACACACACAGTACACCCGCGACTGTTACAATGAAGGCTCGATAATCAGCTCACGGCATATAGGCAGGGGTAAAGTGGTATTTTTTATGAGTGGGGGGCTCACCTCCTCAAGGGGGGTCCGGGGGGATTCTCCCCCGGGAATTTTTTTTTTTAAATATTGAAGTTAAATGCATCAATCTGGTGCACTTTGAGAGCAAAATGAAGAGATCTATGGATACCTCTCTCAACACCCATATGAAGCAGAACTGTAAACAGATGTACTTTTTCTTTATGGATATTTTACTAATCACTCCCCTTTTAAACTCTATTCTTGTTTTACTGCCATTTAGTATTTCATAACTGTTTTTCCTTTATTCTCTTATTTTTTGTATAACTATAATGATCATATGAAGGTGTGCCGCGGAAATAATCTTTTGAATAATTTGTGACCAAACCGTTTGAGACCCACTGAGATAACTTAGACTAAAGTTAAGTATCTAAACCAGGGGTCGACAACCTTTTTGATATGAAGTGCCATTAAAAAAAAAAATGTTTATCAGCGTGCCAACGATCGAGAATTATCAACGGGGGGGGGGGGGGGGGGGGGTGTTGAGGATGTTGAGGATGTTGAGGAGCTTGACGCTCGTGATCTATCAACAGGAGGGCGGGGGGGGCTCGCTGCGGGGAAGCAGTGTGTGGACCTGTCAGCGCAACTTACAACTTACATGATACCGAATTTAACAAACACATTTAAATAATTGGTTTAAACGGCATAATAATAAGGACGATCGTCCGTTCTGTGATTCTCCAGAACACACATGTTATGATATTAGGGTCATGCAGAGTGAGATGAGATCGCTGTCCCTTTAAGAGAGAGAGAGAGGGGTGTGGCGTGTGCATGTGTGTGTGTGGATGGTAGAGCGCTGAGCGAGAGTGAGCGAGCGTGTGTATGTTTCTGGAAGTGAAACGAGGCAGCAGAAAAACAGAGGTCTGTGATGTATTTTGTGAAACAGAAGAACAGCTAAATAAATGCAACGGCCTCCCAACAAGAGCTCGCCTCTCTCCAGTCATTTAAGCTAAAGTGGGTTATTGAACCTGAAGCTTGTTGCTTCTGCCCTCCTCGACTACGGTCTGGGAGCCGACAGGAAAGTTCAACACACAGATGGCCAGTCCGCCCCTTTGTAGCATATTATTTCAATGAGAGATGAGCAGATCGCCACTGGGCTTTCAACTAAAGACACACACAGCCACGCAAAAACTGCGACATTTGTAAAGCTCCTTATGGGTACTGCAATTTGTGAAGTGCTTTCTTCTGTGGTGAAACGATCAGCCCTGCACCACGGAGGAAAGCGGCAGAAAGTCACTTGGAGTTAAAGAGAGCGGGGCTGCATTGCGTGCATGGCTTCCTTCTGCAGGTAACGGGGAGACGCGCTCTGGCGGCGGTCTCGTTCAGGATCCGAAAATACAATTTAAATATTTTGCACACTTATTCCACTTATTCCTAGTGTGCCACTGGTCACGCGTGCCAGCATTGGCACGCGTGCCAGGGGTTGCCGACCCCTGATCTAAACACTCAGAGAGTCCTTTAGCTCACCTAAGTCTCTCAGTCTGAGAGGAGAGGACTCTCCTCCAGCTTGTTGTGGAACAAACAGCTCCTTATGTCCGTCAGTGCAGCTAGCTAACCAGATGCTCACAACACGGTCCATGCTGGCACGGTCCCTCCCTCCCCCTCTCTCCCTCTCTCCCTCTCTCCCTCTCTCTCTCTCTATCACACTAAATGCGCTATTGCCACACACACACAGAGCCGAGCTTGAATGACACAAGCACACATTTATTTCCATGCAACTCTCTGATTGGTCTGGTGTCATGCCTCTGTTGCATTCACTGAACACGGGAAATTACAGTGCTGCCGTCCTCTCTTGTGTCATGATGAGGTTCACGTACGTAAAGCACGGTTAATGTATTATATTATTGAGGGAGAATTGTCCGGGGCTACAGAAAAAACATTCGGGGCTAAAGCCCCGGATGCCCAGGCCAGGCGACGCCACTGGCACCCACAGATTCAGTGTCTCCAGGACACCAAAAACGAGTGGTTGGCTGTGCATCTAGGATAAGTAATAAGGGAGTTATTGTGAGTTTAAGTGCCGTTTTACGTTACATTTTTTTCGCTCGTGGCTAATTCAGAGGCTGAGTGCTAGCATTGTGGGTTTTTTTTTAATTTTTTTTTTTAAAAAGATCAGTTAGCTGAGTTTCTTCCCGTTACATGGATATAAAACATTCATAGTTTTATTAAATATTAAGATTCCTTAGACGTTGTTTCCTGCAAATGGCGCGTTTATCCGCCCGGTACCGGGGGGGGCCATGCGTAACAGGTTAATGGCCAAACTATTCCACAATTTAGGATTTTCCAGAGAGGGTTATTTGTGAATAAACGTCCCTCCGGAGCGTTTGCAATGAACGGGCCGGGAGCATGTTGTTTCTTACACGACCACTAGAGGTGCTCTCGTGTAAGAAACAACATACACTTTAAAACGTGTCTCTGAGTCAAGAAAATCTATAAAGACAAATGATGATACTAACCCCATGTTAAGGCCATGTGTCTTGCAAAATCACACATACACAAATTAAAGATCAATTTATATTAATATAATTATGAACTGATGACACATTTTGACCAAATAAGAAGGGAAATAATAGTAAGCACACTAAAGAACAATAATAGTATACAAATAAGTCCTTGATCATCACATTGCTGATGAAAAACAATGCAAAAAGTGAATGCACAAATATTCAAAAAGACACCTGTGTCACCGATAGATAAAGGATATAAAAACATGCTGATCCTGACCTACCGTCTTTGGTAATAAAGCCTTCCATTATTGGATTGTAGAGAGCAGATGTGCTGGTTTACAGAGAGGTAAGGACAGAGAGTTAAGAGACTGTTTGAAACAATTCCTTTTAGCTACATGCAGCAAACCACGCCCAATACAGACTGGGTGTGTACGTGTTATTTTACAGGCTGTTTTATCCATTGAGACTAAATGAAAAAGGTTGAGCAAACTTTGTCTTTGAGTGATGTTTTTTAATTAGTTTTAAATGCAGTACTGTCTTTATATGTACAAGAGAAATGACATGTTTTGATGAATGTAGTCTTCAGTGTTTCTAGTCATGTCAAGTCTTTTTTATTCGTATATCCCATCATCTAAAATCACAAACTCTACAACAAACAGAACCTTTCATTCTTAGACCATAGATTTTTATGAGTAAAAAGGGGACCTTAAAGGGGACCTATCATGCAAAATGCACTTTTGTACGTCTTTTATACATGAATATGTGTCCCCGGTGTTCCAGGGAACTCACCAAGTGTCAGAAAACACAACCCTCTCTATTTTCCTCCATACCCAAATCTCTAAAAAAGGGGCTGCAACGGATCTGATCAAAACTGATCCAGATTTGAACACTGTCCTGACGTCAGGACGGTGGCACTACGGCTATTGGGCCAACTCCACCAATCAGGAGGAGACAGCCACGGCCATTGCCGTTCGAAAGCGCTGGAGATGCTGTAGTACATATGCCAGGCCAGTAGATGGTGCTGTTGCTCACTGAATCTGCCCAGAGCTAGAAATGGTCAAATTGAGCAAAATGAGGCATGGCTAAAATGCATGATCTGTAAAAAGTATAAATATGCCTTATATAGGTATGGTCCTACACTATATTATTCAAATATAGCATGATAGGTCCACTTTAAATGGTAAAAGAAATGTGTAGAAACTTTGATGTGTTTAGAGAAAGACCAACAATACAAAATTCCATTATGGACAATCAGGATGACAAAGTTATACATAGCAAACACAAAGAACTGTTCGACATGTTGATATGTCGCTTTATTCAAAATTATGTAACCTACAACAGATCTACACAGTCTACACATAACACACAAGAAAAGTACTGTAAACTGTATACATGTAACTGTTGCATTTAGTCTGCATTTCACTTTACAATCTTTTACTTGTGTCGTGTTTTTTCTCAGCTCTTCAATGATCGATGATGATCGATTAATAAAAATAATAAAATTCAATAACGTGCTTTAACCACTAGGTGTCCCTTTCTATCAGCTGTGCACCGTTATGGTGTAAATACAGCCTATCTACCAATTGGATCAAATATAAAAGTCAGCCGAATTAACGTTGATACTGCAAGGAGACGTATTGTGTGAAAAGAAATCTAAGATGTTGTTTAATTGCTGATATATTTATGATCCACGCCACGTTTTCAGTTTTGGCGGCAGTTGTTCCTGTTTCCGGTATTGTTCATGACGGATGTATTTAGTTATACACACATTCCTTCAAATTTAAATTTAGTATTTCGTGAGGCCTTCTAATTTAAAAAAAATATATAACTACGGTTCTAGTTGAACAGTTTGTAAATTAACATGAACCCAAGTTGTTGCCTGGCAACGCAATCGCACAACGTCACGTCCGTTAATTCCACAACCGCACACATGGATTAACATTGATTTAATACATTAATGTAGCCTTTGTTTCTGCTAAAAAAGGTGTCGACCAGCTGGGGCAACAAGAAAATCTGCAAAATCGAGTGTGACTATAAAAAAACAACTGGCCGTCGTGGTACAGCATTTGCTTGGCATTTCCGGGTATTTCTCCACTGGTTGGGCCATGTTAACAATACCGTGTAACTGTCACGTTTGAAGGGACAAAATCGTGACATCTTCACGTCTCCCAGCATGGTAGATCCTCTTGCCGTGATACTGGGTTGACCGTAATGAGACTTTCAAAGGCAACATTAAGGAGTCAGATTCCTTTAGGTTTCAATGATTGAAAGGTTGCTTGCATTAATTTGACTAATGACTATCTTTTTATCTGCTTGTTTAATTTGTTTCTTTTAATTTCTGCCCCTTTCTTTGTTTTTCTGTCTGTAACTATTTGTTTTTGCTTATGCAGATTGTTACTAACTAGCTAGCTGGCAACGTTATCGTTTGGTGTACCAAATCATTATCAACTGCTCAATAAACCCAATAAAATAAACAGCAGCTTATTTTATTGGGGTGCGTCCCCATTGGCTACTCAGTTTTTGAGTGACAGCCCAGTCCTCCGGCGATTGTACAGTGCAGCTGCGGTAGCTGAGCACGGACAGAAGACCCCCAGAACCAGCAAGAACCAGCATTTCAATTATTATAATACTACAATTGAACATATATGTAAGCATTGATCATTCTTGTTGTTTGTGCTGTACTATATGGTCTGTTTCTTTATTGTGTTAAGTGAGAAGTAAAGCAAAGCTTTGCAATGAAAGTTAGCTTTTGCTAACTTTAGATCCATAACAATGCTAGCTAAGTAGCCTAACAGCAGGGACAGTTAGCTACTTAGCTACCAGTGCGTGAGCTTTCAGACACCGGCAGACACACTCAAACGGACTTGTATGCCCGACTCTACCAACATGCTTTCATGATTCTGTTTAGATATGCAAGTATAAGCCATGATAGCTTATTTTATTAACACGCTAATTTGATATGAAAATCAATGGAGGCTGAGTTTACTTCTTCTCTTTGTAGGAAAACCTACCGTCCATGATGCCCCTGAGCTGAGTTTTATTTGTCATACAAATGTTGATCTTTGGCTTCTCTTCTATGCATTGCAAAATGCTACACATAGGCTACTCGTATTAAGTATCAGATTTGAGCTCTCTTCCTATTCATTTCCAATTCCATTTTAAAATAAAAGTTGAGTTAATGGCGCAATTAATTAATTTGTTTCTATATGGAGACCTGTTGATAGTTAACTTCATATTTTTCCTTTCCTAAAACATTTATTTTCCTCTCATATTAACAGTGTGGATCATTGAGACAGCGTGGTCTCCAGAGGTCTTCTCCCGTGTCCAACCTCCTCTGAGGGGACAGCACGGAGGGGGGGCATGAAGAAAGACCTGCACCAGCTTCATCCACGCTGGGCGTTGCTGTTATCACTTGCTCAGTGTCATTTAATTTGACCAAATGTCTTTACATATACATTTAATATATTTTATTATTATCCACCTTTTTGTTTTATGTCCTTTTATTTAAAACATTCTTTGAGACTTCATCTTCTGGTTCAAATGTCAATAAATGTAATTTGTATAATCACTCTTTTGTCTTTATTCTACATGGAAATGTTAGAGATTCCATTCAAATCTGTTGATTATTCATATCTTCCTCAGGCTAGTATCTTGAGTTTTTAATGCTAAATGTATATCATTTTCTCACAGGATATAGAATGAGACAACACAGTTTGTATCCATTGTGTATGAATGCTTCAGCTCTTCAGACCAACATAGTAAGATGTGAGCATGTTCCTAATTGTGTTGGTATTCAACCTAGGTCTGGTCTGTTTAATAAAGCAAATCTGCCACTTTTATATTGTAGAATTTGTTAAATTAAAGCAGTCTTTAATTGTTTGTCCTAAACATAGCCATATATGCTTTTGAAATGTCTTTAAAAGTTCAAACATAATAATTATGTTGTTAAGAAAAGAATATGAACAAGTTTTCTTGGCATTATTCGAGGTCTGAAACAACTGCACCCTTTTTGTTATTGGATTGTTAATACATCTAAATGACATTTGTATAATAGAGAGAATAGTAAAGGGTTCCTTCAGCAGATCTAACAGGACATTGTTTTCTGATCCAGCTGAACTCCTTTCTGTGCCAACGTACACTTCTGTAGCAACACCTTTTGTGTTTCACTTCCTTAGAAAAGAAACTGATCTGATGAATGATCCGATGATGAATCTCCTCACCACTTAATCAGAATCTGGCCCGTCAGGTTTTTGCCACAGGAAATAATATCATCCCTTCAAAAAATGCAAAACACTTGAAAATATTTTGTATCAATCCCACACCATGTTTAAAACCAAAGATAGGATAGTTCCAAGAAAACTTATCTCTTTGGATGAATGTTTTGATGCAAACAGCTTGGCAATGTATTTACCAGATTAAGGATATTTCCAAAAGGGGGTTCAGGGCCCTCTAGAGGGTTGGGGGAAATGTGAAGCATTAAGGATACAAACAAAATAAATGTACTACACAATGTTGTATATTTGAATCCTTCTATTGGTGTAGCTCTGAATACAGAAATGATTGAGTCCACCACTGTTCACATCAACTGCAGCAGTTTATCAAATGCCAAATATATGAATGTTTCCAAAACATCAATGCTGTCTGAGATATCATATGTGAGTGGAAATGTGTGACCTAATGTAGGCCAGGTGCTGTGAAATGGAGAAAGATCATGTTTGAGTTACAGCACCCCCATGTGTCCAGCGAATAAAAGACTTCTGTGCTAGATCTGATCATTTCTACCAAAGGCTCCATTACTAATGCAAATGATGAAGGAGATAAAGGGCATCCTTATGTTATACTTTTACTTATTAAAAAATGAGAAGACATTGACCCATTAATGGAACCTGATGCTTAGTGTATAGAATATTGTAAATGTACCCTATTCATAAGTTCATAGTTGCCAGCTGTAGTGATTGGTGACTGTTGTCCAAACCAAGGAAAACGTTCAGCTATTATTGAGATCATTAATGAGTTTGGGGTATTTTCTGGATATAAAGGTCAATAATGGAAAATCCTTGAGACCCAGATCCAAATTAGTTGAGACCCAGTTGTGATTAATACTGTGATTCCTATTAAGATAGACCCTAAACAAATATTTTAGATCCTTTATTAAACAACAGAAGCACATAATACACTCGATGTGAACTCAGTCTTTTATTATGGGACATTATTGATAACTAGATGTTTGTCTTTACACATTCATTTCTGTTCCAACCTTTTCATATTGAATTATCACAATTCATTGCATACATACATTTTAACCTTTCATTTTACAAAAGCCAACATTGACATTACGCCTTCAGTTATTGTGGAAAGCCAAAGAAAATATATCCGTATAACATTTTAAAAGCATTAATTCACGATGTATACAGTTTTATTTTGTCTTGTAAAAGTAAAAGCTATCAAAGAGCAAATTAGTTTACAGTTCATTACTATAGTTTAGAATTTTAACATCTTGGTTGTTGACGATCTGTCACCCTGTATTTAATTGTAACAATCCACTGAAATCACTTATATTACTATAAATCACAACAAACAACATCAAAAAGGTGATTGTGAAGATTAACAAGGAGGTATTCCAGAGGGTCAGACTGTATCATGAAAACCCGTGCAACTGTTTGTTTATCCAAAAAAACAACCCAAAATATTTTCCACAACGGTACAAATGTTGTCCATTTTTGAAGGTCTTTCCTCCTGGCCCTCCTTTCCTCCTCTGCTCTTATTCTCCTCCTCTCCT